GTCGCCATCGTCGAAAATTCTTCTCAAATAGACCACGGCCGCGACAGCTTCCTCCAAGGCATCACAGAACGTATGAAGCTCTGACTCAATCACGTTTTTCTTCTTAGGTTGTATACATCGTGGTACACTTACTAGCTCTAACTCTGGCAGCCTTCTTAACCAAGCTTTCCATTTCGTCAGATGGGAATTAGGAATGGGGTCATTCCAATCGAGACCTAGCAGGCCAATTGTTGTGTTAGGATCTTTGCTTTGATAATGAATGGCGAAGCTAACCCAAGGGTGTCGAATACGCCGGCCAGCTTGCTCAGGAGGCCTCTTCGGGTGTATCTTACTTCTTCAACCGGTGCAACTGCAAATGTAAGTTCGTCAGTTTCAGTGTTCCATTTTACACCGAGAATTTTCTTTTCTGGTTCATGTCCGACAAGGTTGGTCACAATGTCAACATCAGGTTTCGTTTCCTGTCTAAGCTCAGATACCACTTCCGGGATGTTGGAAGTCCACTTCCTTAAATGTAAATCACCCTTTGCTAAGATCTCCTTTACTTGCTGACCTCTTTTGATTGCTTTTTACTTAGTCTCTGCAGAGTCAAGATAGTCGTCCACGTACAAGTTCTCGTTAATAGCTTTCACAGCGTCTTCTTGTCCTTGTCCATGATCTTTAGCAGTTCGGCGAGTGGCATAAATTACTTCGCATGGTGACGAAGTATCACCGAAGGCTAATCTGTTCATCTGGTAAGTGTCAATGACCTTACTGTTTTTCTCTTTCAACAGAAAGCGATGATATCTAGCATCTTGTTCCTGCAATCTAACTCGGCTGAACATTGCCTCGATATCGGCTCGAATGCAACATCACCTTCCCGGAAATTTGTGAAGACTTGTGGAAATTCATTCTGTAGAACAGGTCCTGGGAGTAAAGCATCGTTTAAACATTTGCCTCTGTACCTAGCTGAGGCATCAAAAGATTACTCGGATCTTCTTCTTGGCGGATGATTTCTTATATACCCCGTGATGAGGAAGATATCATTGATTTGGTCCTATGAGGTCGTCTTCTTCACCCACTTTGTGCGCATATCCGTCTTCTACATACTTGCTGACAGCTTTGCGATAATCTTTCTCACACTCTGGGTCTCGCTCAAATTGACGTTGCAAGCCTTCCAATCTCTTTTGCGCGACTTTCCGATTGTTCTGAAGCTGTGGTTCGTTTTCTTTCCATAACAAGGAGACCTCGTAATCGGTCTCCAACTTCCTGGTCTCGTGTTCCAGTATATCCAAGGCTCGTTGATCATCATTGGAATTGTGTGGCAAGTTCGTTGTCTTAGTCCCAAACGACTCGCTATCCCAACACTGCTTAAAGGCAACATCGAGTTGTTCTGGCTCAGCTCTAGCAACGTGATAGCTGTGGATGTCACCACGAGGCTTGCCAACCAGCCCAACCGCCATCCATCTTTTGACTACGGGTTCTTGCGGTTTGCCCATCTTTACATCCAATGGTATCAACAAATCTGCATGATCAAGACCGATAAGGATATCAATTTCATCACCAACAGCTTTCAGGTTAACATTTTCCAGGTGTTTCCACTTTCTTTTGATATCAGGCCATTGAACTGTTCCAACTGGCTGACAGATCTTTGGAAGGCTCCAGGCTGTGAGGTTAACGTATTCAGCATTGTCTTCTGGTGTTTTAACATGGAGGTTTTCTTTTCCTCCAACACCCGAAATGTTCAGCGTGGTCTTCTTTCCCCGCAATCGCACCTTTCTAACAAAAGATTCTGTTACCTGCGTAGTGTCAGAACCATCATCAAACAAAAGGTTTCCTTTCACCTGAACTCCACCAGCACCTACGACGGCAACTTCAACAATTCCAAACGCTACACCAGATTGTGGTGTCTTGGTGGTGGTTGAACGCACATTCTCTTTTTGGTGTAATAACGGGTGATGTTTCTTTTTGCAGTTCCCGATGCCGCATTCCTTTGTCTGTGGACAATTTCGAGAAATATGAGATTCTTCTAAGCAACCGAAACAGAACCGTTTCTTTTTTACAAAGTTGAAACGGTCTTCCGTTGACAACTCTTTGAACTTTGTACAATTCTCCGTCCTATGCTTGCTATCACATTTCACGCATTTGGCCAAATAAAGATCTTCTGGGACGATTTCGGTTGTTACGATTTTCTTTTCTTCGAGTATTTTGTGGGGGCAATTCACTCCAGTAACACTTTCCTCTGGCTCCCAACCATGTGCTGAATGCTTCTAGCGTCATCTTCACTTGACCTTCACCAACTTTTGTCCGCCAGGCCTTTGCATCCTCCTGTGGTAACTTATCAGTCAGTTCATAAATAAGAGACGACACAAACGGAGATTCTCCTTTACTATATCGTTTTAGTACAGCAAGATGACTTCTCGCTTGATCAACGAAGGTCTGGAAACTAATTGCTAAAACTGTCTGGGTCTCCTCTAAACGCGTACTTCATGTAAAGTTTCGGGGAAACGTCCGTCCAGAGGGGTTATTAGAGACCGTACGATTTTAGGACGCCACCGCGACGACCACGGCCGAATTAAACAAACTCCTTGAAACAAATGGTAGTAAAGATAATTCGTGGTATATGATCAATCGTATTTGAATTTATTACAGTCTTAGAAGTTTATGTTTGGGAAGAGTTCTGCTGAACCCAGTTTGAAGTTGCATGTACTTGTTGCGGCTTGGAATGCAGCCGTTGTATCAAAATCTAGACGTGAAAATCTGTGATTTGTGAATCGACGACAATGTCTAAATTATTCATATATTGCAATTTACTAATAGTAGCTGCAATAGATTGGATACCTGATACCGTTGCAAGACCTTTTTAAAAATTCACAATATTTTGTGTTTGCTTTAGTGTAGGTTAATGCCTAGGTAGGAAATAATAAAATATACAAGTTTCAAGAAGTTAGAATAAAAGCGCGAGATGAAAGTGAGATATAAAAAAGCTCAAATATCACTTGCGTAATTAACCTTTTTAACATGTTTTCGAACGCGTCCGAAAATAATTGCGAAAAATTTTTTAAAACTGACTACAATTTCAAAGTCAGCGATTTTTGTTCATTTTATGAATGACTTCTTCCACACAGAAAGTATGAAGGAATTCTGTAATCTTACGAAATTCGAGTGGTCGGTTTTTACACGGACTGCCTCTTAAAATAATGCAATGCTCTGGATGGATACAATAGAAACTGGTGGAACAGCCAAACAATTCTCATTCTGTAATTTTTGAACGAAAAATTCCACACCGGATGTACCCGGGTCCCAAAATCGCGAAAAATACCGTGTTAACTTGCAATTATAATAATTCGCAAAGCGATCAACTTCTAACTGTTTTAACAAAGCGTCTGTAATTTGTCAATCATCTGGATCAATTAAACGACTTATAAAATCAGCTCGCACATTTGCATCACGCGGTACCCATTGAATATCAATGCTGATAGTTTGATCAATACAGAGCTCAAAAATACTGATAGCAATTGTAATTCCAATTTCATACTACCTACGTCTACTATTGTTGGAACGGCTCGAATATCTGTATACCACTTAACATGGGTGCGCGGAAGTATATCGGCAAATGATCATATTGCAAACTCAATTGCTGCTAACTCTCTCCAAGTGGAACTTTTGCAACGTTATCTTAGGATAAATATTAATGCCCAGCATAAAACACGTAAAAGAGCCATAACAAAAATATAATTTAAAATATTTTATATGGCTCTTTTACGTGTTTTATGCTGGGCATTAATATTTATCCTAAGATTACGATTTCCGCCTGGTTCATCTATCGCAAGTATTTTGCAACGTTCATTTACATCCCACATTTTATGAAAAACCTGGCTTTAATTTAGAGTGATGACCGAGCCACAGCATGTTTCACTCGCAACAGAATAAACAACAAAACAATTCGGTTCACGGTGGAGAAAACAATTCCGGCCATTAAGTTTTACAATATTCTCTTTCCAAAACAATATTTCATGTTTACTAAATTCATCTAATTGAAATATTCTATCCCAACTTGCAGCACTAGCAACAGACATGGAACAATACCGTGTCATAATACAAGCAATATTACCTACGGCAGCCCCTGTAGAAATTATTTGCACTGTAAACGAAGCAAGTACTCGCTCGGAAACAATAAATTTTAATTATATAATAGATTGAATTGTATGAAGGTCCTGAAGGGAGGGTCGTATTCCCATTTCCCAGCCCAAATTTTGACTAAATCCCATTGTCCCATGGCCATGACCTATTTTCTCAATGCGTCTGCTCACAATAGTGAAACCCAACCAATCGAGCATTTGGGTGGGTTCCCAGATAGCTTTATCATCGTTAGGTATAAAGCCGGCACTAAGTAAATCTTGCTTTACTGTGTTGGGATTAGTACGACATAATTGTAGGTCTTTAGCAAGTGACCACCCATCGTCCAGAAAGATTGCTATATTAATATTCAAATAGCGCCAATAATTTTCTAGAGATCTGAGAAGGTTCGTGAATATATAGGGCGCAGTTGATAAACCAAACGGGAGAACAGTAAAAACATAAAATGTTTCATGCAACGAAACCGGGCACTTCCATGCAAAACCCAAGTACGTTTGGTGACCTTCAAAAATTTCTACATGGTGGTAACCGCTTTCCAAATCTAACGAAAAATATAAGCATCTTGTTCAAAATATGCCATAGCTACTTTAATTCCAGTCATCATACTTTACTCGACATTTTTGGAGACTCATACTGACGTACCTCAAATCAAGAATTAACCTTTTTTTACCATTGGCTTGTACCGAAACAGACAAAGGATTAACAACATGAAGTCTAATTGTGATTTGCACAATTCGACCCGATTGAGGCAGTTCTGAAATGGCTCCATTTACAAAGTCTTTATGACTATGTGCAGACTTATTATTAGTTAAAATATTTGGTTTTGGAATGTGCCTAAACGGTAACTTGTAACCTTCTCCAATCACGTTCACTGATTTTTCATCTTCCTTATCTGCAACAGCTTTCTCTCGTGGAGACGTTTTTGGAGCTGCATGCACTCTATATGATTCAACAGCTTTAGTAAACCAACGTTGCAACTCGGGATCTGGCATTTTATAAGCTAAATATGTTATCTGCCTGGATTCTGAACGAGAAGAGACCCAGTGTCTATAACTCAAGCAATTTATAGTTGCCACAGTCTGCCATATATGGCAAGCAGATACATCAATTAGCCTGCTCATGCACACCAGCAGAAAATTCATTTATGTTCTTATTCACTGCGTTCAACCGAACATAAAATAATTTCAGCTCAATTTCCTGAAATAACCAGACAACACAAGTTATGGCTGGATTCCCAGTGGTCGAATCCAGCTATTAGAATACACAAAGTATCACTATAGGAGAATTGTACAACAGTACATACAGACGACCATCTGATCAGCATCAGAACTCAACCTTTAATTGCCTCTTGGTCGGCTCTGATGGCTGAAACTTGGTTTGTCTACGCTTTCGATTTACGGCCTCTTTAGGTCGCTTGAGTCTTTTTTCGTCTTCTGAATCGGATGCTAGGTCGTCTGACTCGTTCTCTTCGACGACTTTCGACCCATCTTTGTTGCTATCTGCGATCTTTATTAACTTCTGCCTGCGTTTGAGCAAAGCTTTCGCTTCTTGCACGAGAGCAGCAATGCGTAGAATCGCACTCCCGGCGAACTTAGCTTTCTCGATCTCGTCTAGGATTGCATCAGTTTGGGCGTTTAACTCATATTGCTTCTGATTGCCTTTGTAATTCAATTGAACGACTTCTTTTTCAGTTTTTCCTTTGAGTTCAAGTTGTTTTCCCTTCTCGTCTATTTACTCTTCTGAATATGTTTTGAACATATTAAACACTTCACTGATTTTTCATCTTCCTTATCTGCAACAGCTTTCTCTCGTGGAGACGTTCTTGGAGCTGCATGCACTCTATGATTCAACAGCTTTAGTAAACCAACGTTGCAACTCGGGATCTGACAATTTATAAGCTAAATATGTTATCTGCCTGGTTTCTGAACGAGGAGAGACCCATGCAGTGTCTATAACTGAAGCAATTTATAGTTGCTACAGTCTGTCATAAATGGCAAGCAGATACATCTATTAGCCTGCTAATGCATATCAGCAGAAAATTCATCAATGTGCTTGTATTGATGTAGTTAGCTTTTTTAAAATGCTTAATGGCGGGTGATTTGAATTCCTATACTTGTATACAACGTATCGTTACACTGGGTTTGTATTTTCCAATTAGGGACCATTCATTATTTATGACCGGGGGTGGGCTGGCAAAATTCAATTAACAACTAAACAAAATGTCCTGCCCCACCCCCTGCATGACAAAAAAATTCAATGACCCCCTTCACATGAATGTACAGTACTCTATAGAAATGAGCTCTTTAAACTTGTGCTTTCAACAATTAATATGCATGCCTATTTAACTCATTAATTAAGCGGCAGGGTTTCCTGTTGAGGAGTAAAATCGTCTGGCGTTAAACAACTAAAAAAATACGTAGGGTACACTGGGGCGCAATGGGTTAACTAGAGACATTGTCAGATTTTTTGGTCAACCCATTAATTAAGCTTCAAAGCGCCAAAGAGGCTAAAGCTGGACGTCATACCATTTTTCGCTACTGAGAGTGTAGTAAAAAGTTGCTTGAAGTTGCTCGAGCCAAAAAAGGTTGCTCCAAACGCAAAACGTTGCTCAAACGTTGCTGAACACAATCGAGACATGCCTAACAGAGCTTTCCCGTTGATAAGTAAAATCGGTTATAGGAGTATAGGTTAATTACAATGCCATAGGAAGCTCTTTTTGATTGGGGAGCTGACAGCGAGGACCAAACGCCCGACGAAATTTTTAAATAGTGAGAGTCTCCGAAATGCCATTTCCTGGACTTTGGGGAGGATTTGACAGAATTACTGACGGTTCTTTCAGCGAACAAAGGCAATTGTGTTGTTGTTATGGACAAACATGATTATCGCGAGAAGGCTCTTTCACTGTTGAATGACAGAAATACGTATTCTATTCTCAAGTCTGATCCTACTGGAAAGACTAGAAGAGGTTTAAACGCCAAGTTACTTCTTTTGAAGAAATCCGACATTATCAGCAAGGCTACATATGAGTAGTTATACAGCAGTGATAGACTATCTCCGCGTTTCTATGGTTTACCGAAAATCCATAAACCGGAAATTCCATTGAGATCGATTGTGTCGTTTGTGAATTCTCCTACATATGAAGTTTCAAGTTTTTGTCGAACATTTTGTCCCCTGTGGTGGGGAATACTGAAAACACTGTCAAAAATTCCTGTCATTTTGCAGAATTTGTACGAGGTAAACTCTTAAAGCAGATCAAGTGTTGGTATCATTTGATGTCGTTTCCTTGTTTACCAGCATCCCAGTTGATCTTGCCATCAAGGTTGCGGCAAAAAGACTAAGACAGGATGCAACTTTGTTACAAAGAACATCCTTGCCTGTAGAAGATATTATTGATCTTCTGTCTTTTTGTCTCAACACCACATACTTTGTGTGTTGAGGGCTGTTATTGTCAACAGGTTTTTGGAACAGCGAGGGGTCACCAGTATTGGCAGTAATTGCTAATTTAGTAATGGAAGATGTCGAACAAAAAGCTTTAGCCTCTGTTCCGGTATCTCTATCGTTTTGGAAACGTTTCGTCGATGATGTCATCTCTGCGGTTTCTAGAAATGAAATCGATATTCTGCTACAACATTTAAATTCTATTGAGCCGGCTATCCAATTCACAGTAAAACGTGAGATAAATGGACATTTAGCTTTTTTAGATTTGAATGTGCACAGAACTGTCGAAGGGAAGTTAGAGACTGATGCTTATCGCAAACCCACACACACAGACAAATACTTGTCATACGACTCTCATCACCGAGTAAGCCATAAAAGATCCGTAGCAAAAACTTTGCTTCAAAGAGCTGAATCCTTGCCGTCAAACAGTGATTCTCAAGCTAATGAACGTGAATATGTACTTCTAAATATTTTAGGGGGAAACGATTACCCAAAACGTTTTCATAATGATTGCCTGAGATCACCTGTTTGTAGGAATAGTCACTATAGTCTTACTAGTCATGACTATAGACTTAATGGTCATGACTATAGTCTTGATAGTTATGCCTATAATCTTAATGGTCATGACTATGACTTTAATCTTAATAAGATAAGATAAGATAAGGTGTGTTTAATGACAACATTATTCACGCTAATTAAGTACAGCGAATTACAAATGTGTTTACAGACTAAGTTAAAAATAAATTTACAAATGTTTCCGGACTTTAAAAAAAGCTCATGCACTGGGACTGGTTTACAATTATTGATGAAAAACCCCATTAACTAGATTATAGATACACAAATGTAATTTTGTTAAATTACATGCGAATACTTAGATTTGTTATTAAACAATTTAATGGTACTAGGAATAAAACTTCGACGGAGTCTTTCAGTTCGACAACGAGGTAATGTCAATATATTAGGATTTCTTAAATTATACCCATGAGCATCCGCTCTAGTACTCGGTATGTGCCTCGAATGAGGGCCACCTATAGCTATTTTATTTAAGGTTTTTACACATAACTCGTCTCTTCTTTCTTTCAAAGTTTTACAATTCAAATTCTTTAGAGCATCCGCATAATGCAACCCAGGTAAAATAATCCTGCAAGTACGTTTCTGGACACGTTCAACCTCTTCACATAAGTACTTAGGGATGGCATGGTGCCATACTACGCAGTAATAGTCATGACTATAGTCTTGATAGTCATGCCTATAGACAATATCTTAGGATATCATACAGTATCTTAAGATATCATACAACATCTTAGGATATCATACAATAACTTAGGGCCGGAGTTAAATGAAGACCAAATTCAACTTTTGGTAGAAAATAGCACGCCAAAATGCACTCAAAAGTCAACAAAATTTGGAATGAAAGTATTTGATGGTAGGTTAAATGTTTGAGCACTGAAAATTAACACTAAGTTTGATATATTGACTAGAAAACGACGCATTAAATTTCGCCAATACAGAGATATATCCTCTTTAAAAAATAGCTTTTCTTGGGCTTATTACAGAGTGGTTCAGAAGTTCAAAAATATTTGACAAGTACATAACAGAAATGTCAAAAAAAAAGAATTGAATTCCTGCTTGAAGCAGTTTTACACGTCGGTCAGGCAAAAGACGGCTTGTACTACAAAGAAAAAACAATGAAAGCTATACGAGCAGCTATTGACAGGTTTATAAACAAAACTTCAAACAGGGGATTTAGCATAGTCGGTGACCCTACCTTCAAGGAAGCCAACACAGTTCTTGACGCTTTTCTCAAAGACTTGAGGAAATCAGGAAAGATAGCTGGAGTTGTCCACAAGAAGCCAAGTTCAAAAGAGCAAATTCAGTTGCTTCTTCGTGCTGGTGAATTGGCGCCGACGAACAGCGAAGATCCAGCTCAACTCTTTCGCACAGTGTGGTTTTATCTAAGTCTGTTCTTCGGCAAAAGAGGCAGAGAAAACCAACGGCAACTAAAACCAAACATACTTATTCTCAGGTCGACCCCAGACGGTAAATAATTTTATGAGCTCAATCGTGAAGTAGCTGGTTCAGTATTGGCAACAAAGTATCACCAAGGCGGGGTCGATGACCCCGAAGATGAATCCGATGGAAAAATCTTTAGTATCCCTGGTTCCAGCAGTTGTTCTGTCGAGGCCATCAAAAAGGATTTAAAGCACCTGAATCCTGCGTGTGATAGCCTGTTTCAGCGTCCAAAAATTGCACAAGTCAACAAGTTTAATGTTAACGATATGATCTGGTGTGCTAACGCACCGATCGGTAAAAGCACGCTGGGAAATTTGCTTCGTGTTATGACCAAAAGAGCAGGTATTGAGCCCCCTTTAACCAATCACTCCATAAAGGCAACATCAGTAACAGTTTTGTCCAATGCCAACGCTGAAACTCGCCTAATAAAGTCTGTAACCGGTCATAAATCTGATACGTCGAACGAATCTTACAGCAGTCGTCCATCCGCACAACAACAAGAGGCCATGGCTTCGATTTTGTCCGATTACATTTGCCCAGACGATTCAGCAAATCCTACCATCGTTCGCCAAACAGACTAAGATAAAGAGAACCAAATTCCTACCCACGGATCTAGTAGTTCTGCTGTTGTTCCTTCAGTTTGTTTAGCGAGAAGCGATCATCAGCTGATGACAGTTGTCAACAATCAGGCGATCAGTTTCAACCAACCCAAGCAGCATGATGACAAAATGTCCCGTTTATAACTTTAACAATTGCTCTGTTAATAATTATTTTCCAGTGACTTTATATAATTTGTACGAGGTTTATAAGAATGTTTTTCGATCGAGCAAGAACGAACATAGTCTCCCTCGCGACGTTCTTATAGTTCTAACCCTCGCTAACTAAAGTCTGCTGAAACGAGCTGCACATTCCATTCCATCCGATCGACCAATCACAGCGAACCTTCTATATTTCGGAAAGTGATTTAGGGGCGGAATATAAATACTACATAAATATTTTTATATTTTGAAAGCAGTCGTCGCTTGAATTTTGGTCAAAATTGCACATAAATCGAATTTAAAGATATTGATACTGGTCCAGGTAATAAAAGGCACCATTAATGATCAGATGCGGTCCTGTACTACTGAAGATGTTCGGTTATATTTAAAACGCAGACAGCTATGATGGCATTATACTGTATCAAAGAAAACGCAACCTCGGAATTTCCTAAGAAATCACTTTGCAACTCTTAAGTATAAAAGATTTTAGACCACTGGGAATTGAAATCGAATTGCTAATAGATCATATTACTGTTGTTGTGCATTAAATAAATGCATAAATTTTGCTTTATGCACTCGCGTGTGCAGTAATTTTGACAGTTGTGCTATTTTAAATTCCCAGGCGCCTAAAATCTTTTGTCTTTAAAACAATGTCGATTTCTTGAGAAATTCCGAGGTTACGTTTTTTATACACCCTGTGTGAATCTAGGCCAGCAGACAGCATCAAATGCCGAATATATTTCGCTGAAATTTGAACTTTTAACGGATTTTTATCTTTAATTAAGACAACAAATTAAGACAACAAAAACTCAGAAGACAGAAAATTTGATATAATACTGTGGCTTAGAAAGCGAAATATTAGTTTCAAAGTAAACTAATTTGCTGTTTGAGCAACCACTTCTGACTTCTGAATGTAAACACAACACAAATATATTAAAAACCCGAGAAACTTTTAAATGCGGCCAGATGAATTTCCAATTCGCCCAAACTTCGAAACCTTTATACATCTAACTTCGCTATACTTTTCTACATGACAACGAGGGCTTAACCTTTTAGAATTTTTCGTCGAAGCCATGGCATATAGGAAGTATTTAATAGCAACATTTGGACATTATCCCGTTGATATAATAATACACTGGTTATAGCTTCTATAGGTATCAAAAGTGAAGCCAATCTCGTACCCAGAGCAATGCCTGTGCGCTGGCTAGGATGGCATTGGCTCTGGGGAAATTGAATTTTTCCTGTGCTGTGATTGGTTTAACGTTTATCAGTCGTGCATGCCGACAAAGAACCGGAACCCCTAAATTTAGGGGTTACGGTTGTCAATTTCCCCAGAGCCAATGCCATCCTAGCCCGCGCACAGGCATTGCTCTGGGTACGAGATTGAAGTGAAGCCAACTCGCAAGCGTGCAAATTTACTTCCGGATACCCAAAGGAGCGATAATTAATATGGCCTTATATGGAGAAATGTGATTTCGAAGCAAATATTTTGTAAATATGAGTGAATCCTGTGTTTTTATAATATAGTGTTTATTTACATTTTCATGCAAGTCCCTTGCCATAAATTCCTATAAACTGTAGATTGTAGAAAGCATTCCAAACTTTGTCTTCAATCCTCATAAAACACCACTCATTTTAAGACAATTTCCAGCATTAGTTTCGTACTTCAGAACACATATTTGCTATGGCATACAGTCTCCATATTTTTAATGGTAAAGTAAATAAAATTTATTTATTTATTTAGCTTTGCCAACTAGGGCAGGGTCACCACAACAGCATATGCCAATTACTGTGGGCCCTTTTTACCTAACCCACCCTGTCAACTTTCCCTGTGGGAGGAAACCGGAGTACCCGGGGAAAACCCACGGCTTTCGGCAGAGCGTTGACTTTTGCTCTTTTCACATGAGGACTGGGTTCGAGTCGCATTGAGAAGGTACTTAGTGAGATTCGAACCTGCAGAACCGGAGTACCCGGGGAAAACCCACGGCTTTCGG